GGGGGACGCTACTGCCTTGGGCCCCTTTGCTGATCCGCAGGCTCCTCTGCGCCTGGAGTCGTTGTGGGGCTTGTTTCTCGCTTGTCGCCCTGGGGTTTTAGTGCCTTTTCTTCTTTAAGCCGTCTTTCTTCTATTGGAGGGAAATGGGAGGGGGAGAAGCATGACCTGAAATTAGTTGGAAGAGAGAATTTTTAAAAAAGTAATAGGGAAGTTAAGGAGGTTACAGCCTTCTAAAACAGCTGTGTCTTCTTGGCTTTACCAGGTTGACTTCTTGCTGGGAGCCGTTTCACAGTCATGTAGAGAAGTAGTAGTCTGGGCCTTTAATAAAGTCTTTACGTGCTTTCCGCTGGTGTTTTTCTTGTAACTGAAGCTGCATGCATTGAGTAAAAGGGAATAGCTGACCTTCTGTGTGTTGGATTTTGGATGGATTTTTGTGTCTGTTTCTATGAAATAAGTGTACATACCAGCAATGTACAGTTAGTATGCAGTATGAGGGTTCTGGAAACAAAGAAAAATACTTTCTAGACCAACAGCCTATTTTTTTTCCTTGTCGTCTTCTCTGAAAAATATTATTTAAAAACGTAAGGGATTTTTTTAGTGAATCAATTCTTAATGCACCTTTTTGTATGTGTTACAATTCCTGTTCACAACTTAAAAGTATGTGAAGCTTAGCATGTTAGCAATAAACTGATTGAATGTGTACAGCAACACAGGTGCTGTTTCTTGGGCTACACAACTGTGCAGCATCTTTACCAGGTCACTGCTTCCAGCTGACCTGTCTCAAAGGGATCCCCATGTGGCATGTCTGGTATCAAGTGGTGGAAATCCAGTCGCATTCTGAAATGAGCTCTGCTCGTTCTTTTCTCAAGTTCTAACTCTCACTGTTAAAATACACTCTTTGCTTCTGCTGTCAAGTTATAAAACTTTAGCCTCCAACAGTTAAATTTACCTTTTCTGACAGTAAAAGTATTTGTAATTGTCCATCCGGATGGACGTTGATGGGCAGTGACTGAAGCATGTCCTACCCTTTTGTTACCAATTTAAAGAAAATGGGAGGATGACCCTTATTTTATCTCAGTAATACTTCTGAGAGGTTCTATATAACACAGTTTGTGTACTTGGAATATTTTTTTGGTTTAGTCTATTCACTACTCTTCAGTTGTGGTTTGATTTTGACCCCGATTAATTGAAATATCCTGAATTACTTCAGAGTCTTTATGCAATCAATGAAATAGAATGGAGGATGAGACAACCCTTTCCCCTCAATCAATGTTGCATTTAAATATAATGTACTTGTCTAGGAACTTGTCTTGGCATTCAGACGGTTCATGCCAGCCTTCAAAGTCTCTGCAAGATCAGTATCTTCATGTTTTCTCTTATTTTGTTTTCATTTTGGAGAAGATTAAAAAAACCCAATCAAACACAAAAAAGACCCCAGAACAAACCAAGAAACAACCAAAAAAACCAGGCAAGGCTGCTGTGTAAGGCATCACCATACTGATGAAAATTTCTTTTCAGAATCACCAGTAAGCAGTATACCGGTAGAACTGCAAATCTAATTTTAGTGTGGTTTTGACAGCATGCACTTACTTTTGTGTGTACTCACTCTGAACTGCCTTCCTAGACCCATAGAGGGTCTGCTCTGTGTTGCTCTTCCTGTCTCCACCACCCGGTTCTCTTCCAGCACTGGGAAGATACCAAGTCTCCCTGCTTCAAAAAGCAGAGGAATTACTTTGCAGAGGCTGGCAAGCGTTTCCTTTCTGACACCCCAACAGCACGTGAGGTCACTGGGTATCTCCAGAGTGGACAAGGAAATAGCTTGCACTGAGGTTGTGATTCTCTTAAACCAAGCAGATATGGGTCAGAATAATAAGATTACATAGTCAGCTGTTTGTGACTGGTGGAGTAGGAGCTAACACTTTCTACAGTGTTAAAATAGAGGGTCCCCACTTTGACTTTCTGGTGATTTCAGGTCTTTATTTCTGCCCTGTAATGACTGAACATAAAACCATTGTGGCTTTCTAGGAGTCTTTTCTAGTATTCAAGTACCTTAACTATAATTTCTATTTTGATAATAACTTGCTGTTAAGTGTCAAAGTGGTTTTCTTTTTCTGTGTACGGACTCTCAAGTACTGGGTTTTTAGAAGTGTAGAAGAAGGTTTATTAATCTGACCACAATTTTATCTTCTTATATTCAGATGAGTTTATTTTAAGAATCACTGAAGTGTGGAAGGATAAAAGAACTTTGAATTAAAATGGGAAAAAACCCACCCAACCCATGACTTAACTTTGTAATACTCCAAACAGTAAAATGTATTTAAACCATTTAGAATGGAGGGATCTGGAAATACTAGAAAACAGTTGAAGGCAGCTTACTAAACAAGTCTTTGATTATTAAACCTACTGTTTTCCTAGGTATACACAGATCCTGGACCTTTTTTTTAATTATTATTAAATAACCTCTATCCTGCTGACCACGAAACCAGATTAGAGTTCTCTTGGGGTTTTTTTGTTTTGGTTTGGATTATTTTTTCCCTTCCTCATTGGGAGAGCACAGTAGTGGCTCCCTGTTCACCTCAGTAAGTATTACTTTGAAAATAATACTCAGTTTGCCTAAAATCTTGTTGCCTTTGACTAATATTTGAGTCACTGTATTTGCTGAAAGAGAAATTATACTGGTAAGGGTTTTGGTGGTGGTGTTTCTTCCCTGAAGGGAGTGGGAGCGTCATTTTCAAAACTGTAAGAAATGAATTGGCAAAAATTGGAAAGGAATGGATAAAATAAGTATTAGGATATAAGTTTAAGACACCAACAAAGAAAAGTTTACAAAAATGAGCTTTCCCTGCATCAGTGACTGGATCTAGTTTGGTGTTGTTTGGTTTTTTTTTTGTTTGTTTGTTTTTTTTTAATAAGCAAATAATTATGTAACTTGAGATCTAGTCCTTTGGTTGTTTAAAACCCAGTATTGTTTTGAGCTTCCATTCTGAGATGTGTTTATGAAAGCCCGTGTTGACGGAAGAGTTTTTGCTGTCATAGCTGTATTGACAGGACAGAGATCAATGCCTCTCTGTTTTATTGGTTCAAGTAACATAGAGTTAGGGCTGTTTGGAGGTGTAGTTCTGTGACCGTATGTGCCTCTTTAGGTGGTTTGTTATCAGTTTTGTAATAAACTTCTGGTTATATTAGGCATGTCAAATTCCTACTCCTAAATTCCATTTTCCTAAAAAAGCTAGAGTTCTTTAAAATGAAAAGAATTGACCTGAATGTCAAGGTTAACTTCCTTGGAATAAAATGGCTATTCATTAATACAGATACCAGAATAAGAACCTGTTTTGTGTTACAATCAATGAACTTGCCACTCACATTAACCCCTTTAACTGCCTTGATTTTACCTATTCTTTTTTCTAGATGTGAGTTTGCTGCTAATGGGTGTGAGTAAATTAGATGTCTTGTACAGAAAGCTGCTCCTCACTAAACTTTTCATCAGAGGATGGGGAAAGCCAGAGGATCTGAAAAGGTGACTTGTTTAAAAATAACAGCATAAACAGTACTTGATATTAAAATAAAAAAGCAACCCTTGAAGTACCAACAATTGTTACCATTCTGTAATTAAAAAGAAAAATAAAGTGTAAAAATGTTACAGTTCTTGTTCAGGAAATCATGTGTTTCCATACCAAGGGAGGAACTGAATTTAAAAGAAGTCTTAAGGGGAGCTCTTCAATGTTTGTGTTTAAAGGGGCTGTTCTTGAGAAAATGTGTATGTGTCCAATTACGTGTTTCACTTATGTATATATAATAACATACTTCAAGCAGCAACTTTGAAAGTATTTTCTGAAAACAAAACTTCTGAAATTTGGCAGAGGAATCGTTCTGTTTAACATCCAGGATGTTAGAGGATCTTGCTAGCTTTCTGTAACTTCTTAATAGTAATGAGCTTTAAAATTGTAGGATGCGATCAGAAGTTTCTCTCGTGGCCCAAAGTAGTAAACTCCTTCTTTTTAGATGTCTTGAAAATACGAAAAAAATGGAAGTATCTCTTCATTTTTAATTATTTGCTGATTTTTTATTTGTTATGAAGAGTAACTCCTGGAAGTTTTGCACTTGCATTTCTTAAGTTCAAAAATTAAGTGACCGAATACATGTATTCTGCATCATATAGTATTTAAATAGGAAATGGTAACTCTGCATTTAATAAATTGGTTCATATGTAATTGAAAATAAATAAAGGAAATTAAAAAAAAACCCTGGAATATAATTTTGTTCACTGTGGATAGCAGTGGAGTTATGTGGTGGCTTGTTTTTTATTTTTAAGCACAAGTGAAACATCTCACCTTGAAATGGCACTCGGATTGCTTTGCATGTCTTTCTTCAGTTGATTCTTCTCTTGAGAGGCACTTTCCTGCAAAATGAGAATGTTGGTTTTTAAAATGTTAAGTTTACTTCTGTTGAAATAAGCAAAAAAATGTGGGTTTTCTTGTTTTGGTTGCACCATTTCTGTATTCTGTTACGTGTGTGTGTATCTGAAATGGGACACTAATGTTATCAAAACCCTCTTAAAAATGTTTAGGTTCTTGGCAAAGCGTGATGAACTTTCACTCCTCCATCCCCACCTCCCCCCAACACAACTGCAGTTTATATAGGGGAACTTCTGAAGGATACTGCTGTTAGCTACGCCAGTGCTAGGCAAGGCCTTTCTCTTGGATGGTGTCTGTTAATAGTCACACTAACATCAAACAGCAGGAAAGAAGTATTGCTGGTGGTGGTAATGGTATGAGGTATGGCTCTTCCTTCTTCATCATGGGGGAAAAACCCCTCCCATGAGATGAAAAGCTGTGGGGGAAACATGAGGCAGGCTTTCTGGCCTGCTGGTTTGAAAAGCAGATAAATAAAATGTATTGCCCCTAAATGGGACGAAGATGAGCTGTTCCTCAGCAACCTGTCTTCACCTGGATGAAGAAGGAAGAATACCGCCTCCTCCCAACTCCTCATGTTGGCTAGTGGGAGGGAGTGCTGCTCCCTAGTATGCATGGCATGCTCTGTCATGCTGGAAACAGTGTCAGCGTTGTCTGCCTTTTTTTTTTTTTAACTGTTCACTGTGAAGGTCCATTAGAAGAATTATTGAACTACTTATACTTCAAGTGTTAACAGAGGTTAACTGATATTGCACACTACCCAGCCTACCTGTAACCTGAAGTTTTATGTATACACCCTTGATGTGATGACTGTTGATATCCTAATGCTTTATCCTTGGCTCAATAGAACGAGTTGCAATTCCTCAACACATGCAAGATTTAGCCTTCAGTATCCTCCTAACTACAGAGGAAATACATAAATGCAGTGTTTTTAGAAAACTTAGTATTAAGCAAAACATCTCTTCATTGGCTTACCCTGTACACTCACGTCTTGTGCCTCTGCCCTTATTTTCTCAGAAGTGCTTAAAGTACCTGTAAGAAAAGCAAAGGCTATACATTAGAGCTGTTTTTGATACAGTGGTAAACTCGGTTTTCTTTCTGTCCTCTTGGTTTGCTTTTCTCTGGTGTTGGGAATATGAACAGATCATTCCTGTTATACTATTGTTCTGTACTTTTCACCCAAATCTGCTGTTTTAGTTGGTCGGGTAACATCAATGTCTCTTATTTACAAGTGTAAGAATGAGCAAGTTATTAGCATAGAGTATTCAAGGTGGAGAGTGCCATCTTGACAGCATCTAGTCCAAATCCCTGTTTGAAGCAAAACTAACTTCTTAGTTGATTAAAGTCACTTGGCACCTCATCCATTTAAATTCTGAAGGTCCCTTGAGGAGGGAGTTTATTCATAATTTCCCTGGGCAATCTGTTCCACTGCCTAACCACTGTCATTGTGAAAACCATCTTTCACTGTGTTCCAGTAGGGATTTCTTTATGCTGCAACATGCACCCATTGGCTTTTGTCCTTTCACTGTACACCTCTGAGAAGAGTGATTTTCTCTGTAAGACTTGGCAGCCCATTTAAGCAGCAGGAGAAAGCAACTGGATTTGTCCCTTAGCCTTTTGTTCCCCAGGCAGTGCAAACCCTGTTCCCTTGACCTGCTGGCTTCCCCCTTGCTAAATGCATTCTTACATACCTACCCTACAGTAGCCCAATGAATTTGTAAATGCAAAGGTGGCTTCATAACTTTTATTTTCTTTGTGGCTTGCTTTAGCTCCTGAATTTTTTATATATATATATTAGATTAAAAGTTGAATCTTTTCTACTTGTTTCCTTTCAACAGAATATTTGAATTCAGAAAGATTATTGGAAATCGGGAGAAATGCCAGACACTGGTTTCGAAAGATTACCCTGTGTTCATTGACAAGGTACCTGAAAGCAAGACATGACACAGTTTAACTAAATTTATTTTCCTGATAGTATATAATGGTGAAACCAACATAGTACATACCAACCTGCTTTTATAGGATAGAAGAATTGAATTTTGATGTCACCTGAATCTACATTTTCCTGATGTTTGACATTATCACAGCATGACTTGCTGCTGGGATTGGCAAATGGGGGCTTGAGTTAGGGAGTACATGGAGATAGAGGGGTGAACACACCTCTGACAACATTCAGAGAGCTTTTGTTGATCACTGGTTTTCTAACAGGTGGCATTAGATGATTCTACTGGTGTTCCCAGTTGCTCTCTACCAAGGAAAGGACATCAGAAGACTGTAAAGGGAAAATAAATCACTGTAGTTGAATTCTCCAATGCTCTTGACTGGAAAAAAACAGGCACTGTGCTTCCAGGTGAAGTGTGCACATAGACATAGTTGTAGCCCTGAAGGCTTTTCAGTCTAGGAAATGTGAACAGGGAGTCAGAAATGAAGACTAGTTCTGAAGTCAAATAAATGCACTGGCGGTCAATGCTGTGTCAAGCTAAGTACTCTAACAGTTTGCTAGTTTGATTTAAAATATTTTTTAAATGGAACTGCTGTGGATAGAATTAGGAAGCACTGGAAAAAATGTGAAACGGGGTTGGGAAAATGAGCAGTCACATTGGCTACTAACAAAGAATGGAAGGAAACAGAGCAATAAAGCAATGGCTCTACAGATACTGTTTTATTTTTTCCCTAGAAATACAGTAGTCTGGGGGGTGGGATGTCAGATCTCAAAGCTCAATAAAATGCTCAAAACTTAGTATGTGTTATTGAATTTATTTAAAATGGGACAGCATTACACTATTCCTTTAGTAGGTTGGTTAATTAATGGAAGTTAAGCACTGATGTGAAATACACTGCTATAATCCCATTCTCTCTGTAGGTTGAGGAGCAATCCGACTGTAAAATCCTTGAGGGGCACTTCATTTCCCCACTGGCTCATTATGTCCCAGGTATCCTGCCAGTTGAATCTCTTGTAGCAAGGTAAGAGAAGCCAAGTGGTATTTCCTTTCTGAAACTAGTGCTGCAGAGGAATAAGAACGGCCTGTAAGTAGTTTTATTGTGAAGCTAATTTATTGTAAAACAAATTATCTGTAAAATATTTCAAACTGGTTTTTTGTACTGTGTTGAAATAGTATTTGATCTCAAAAGTGAAAATAAATCTTATTCATGTGATAGTTTAATATGTGTGTAAAAAAAAAAAAAGTTCCTTAGCAAAGTATGTCCTTTCCTAGGGGACTTTTTTTTTGTGTGTAGAAATCATATTGCACAAAGCTGTGGAATACCCTGGGTTTTTTTTTCCAAACGAGCAGGATGCTGGAAGTGAAGGATACCACAGCAAGAGTAGCTGTTTGTTTTATATGTAGCAGGAGAAGCTGTGTATATGAAAGAAGGATGTTACACTGTATTTGAAGGAACCACTCCAGCCTCCTGTTTGCACTGAATACAAAATTATTGTGTGTGTACTGAAGTAGTAAGTTCATTTAATTGTAGCAAGAGAATCTGGTGCCTTTCTTAGTTGGCAAACCAAAAAAAAAAGCTGGGTGATGCCTAATAGTCAGAAAATACCTAATGATGTTTTTGCTGGATTCACACTAACATTGCTTTGCAGATGAGGGGTGGGTTTGGAAAGGGAACACCATTTATTTCTGTTTGCTTTTAGTTTTGAGATAAACTCACATGATGGATTTGTTTTTCTGCAAGCTTCATTTAATAACTTAAGTAGCAAGCATAACAGTGTGTCAGCTCGAGTTGAGACTGGCTTTGTCAATTTTATCAGTATTACTGGTTGGTGTTTTGGTGTGTGCTTAAGCATGTAAGACTAAAGACTATCAGAAAAAGTTTAGTAGTCAAAATATGAGGTGTTTTCCACCTCTCCACTGATTAGAGAAAGAAACTGTCTTTTAACATTATTGGTCTAGATAGTAGTACACTGTGAAATACTGATTGTTTCCTTGTCTGTCTTCTGCTAAAGTGTGTAGGCAAGTTATGCTAGTTGTTCCATTAGACAGTGTTGTTACAATTTTGAAATGCTCTACAGATTTCCCTTCAGATCCTTGTGCTCTGTGTAAATATTTTTTTCTGAAGTGTAACACTGTTGCAAGCAATAGTGCTCCACCTTGTGGGGAAAATACTAGTGGCTCAGAAGTGATTTCTACACACCCCCCCCCCCCAGTTAGACTGTAAATAACTTACGTAGCAGCAGAAGACATTAAGTGATTGATTTTGGGTGTATAGAATAGTTTCATGGTTTGTTGGTTTGGGGATTTTTTTTGTAAATTTAAATATATTGCTCATCTTAATCTTCAGGTTCAGCTGTTGTGCCCTCATGAGAAAAATAGCAGTGCTGCCTAGGAGAGCTAGTCATACTTGTTTAGGCTGCTTTTCATCTGCAGTTCTGTTTCTCCACTCTGCAAAATTTAAATTGTGATGATGAGGTAGTGGTCTTTTTTAGGAACATGATCTTTTGGCTTGGCACCTTTTATTGTTTGGCATTTATTCTGTGCTACTTCTGGATTCCTTTCTTTGCTGGATATGTTTATGAAAAACGATATTGCTGAATCGCTGGCAGTTTGCCTGCATGGGTTACAAAACTATTCTGTCATCCTTTTTTTTTTTTTTGTAGCTTAATTTCTCTGGCGCAGCTTGTAAATAGAAATACTTTGCTAAAACAGGTGTTTGTTTCTCACAGATTTCAGTTCATCATACCCAGAAGATGGAATAGCAAGCACAGACCTGTGTGCATTCATTTAGCAGGCACTGGAGATCATGTGAGTATGTAAAACGTAAAGTTGATTATTATCAAAAAGTTAAATAATCAGAATTTTATCTTAATATACGGTTGTACATCTTATCTTTAGCACTTCTGGAGGAGACGCACATTAATGGCACGCCCAATGATTAAAGAAGCGTGTATGGCTTCCCTATTGCTAGAAAATCCTTATTATATCCTTTTGTGGAAAACAAGACACTTATTCACAACATTCTCCCCAGAAGGTAGAAGACTGGTATAACATATACTTTGTGGATCAATTCCCAGTGGACCTTTGAGTGGACAGAATCAAAGACCAAAGTATGACCATTGCATGAAAGACAACACGGAACACAGTTAATAGAATATGCTACTTTTACACCAAGTATTGCTTATCTGATTTTGGTTTTGAAAATGTCTTCTGCAGCTCCTCACTGTAGTCATAAAAGTTCTGATATGAATTTGTGTACTGATCGAATTACTGGAATGATCCCTTTAGCCATGACAGAGTGAAACTACACTCATCCTACATCATAGTGTGTGACTTCTGGATATACTGATGACAGGAAAGAAGGTTGCCTCTCCTGCTTTCCCTTCTCACATGCAACCCTTTTGTACCTCAGGTACTTTTGAAAAACTTACTGCTACCATTCAAGATTTGTTTTTTTTTTTAAAAGTTGTTCTGTCATGTCATCAACTCATCAGTAACTTCTACAACACTGTTACTCTGTTTTGTTTTAGGATCTCTGGTTACACTCACTTTTTTCCTACCCATATACCTGACAAATGTAAAAACTTATGTTTCACACTACATCATCAAACTACATTTAACTTGATGTAGTTCCAGTTAAACATTTGGAATTTAAGTTCCAAATGTTAATTAATCCATGCTTTTTAGTTATGTGATTTGTTTTACTTTGCTTTTTAATTGTCGTTTTTTATACAGAAGTTTTTTACTTTCTTTAACCTCAGTCTTCTACATGGCTGTAGAAAACCTAAGGATCAAATGTAAGTATTACCATTACACTCATGGATACTTTCTGTTTAAAATCCCTGGGGTTTTTTTCTTCCTGCAAGAAGCTCAAAGTAGTATACACTTTGACAGCTTATTAAGGAAGATAAAAATCCCAAGCATGGTCCACTTGTAACCTGCAAATGTGCAATTGTCGACCCTTTGCTAGACTGCTTTGTCATTTTTTGTGTTGAGATCACAGTGACCAGGGAAGTTTGCACAAGATGAGCTTGCAGTGTAGAGTGAGGTGCAAATTGTGTGAATGCAAACGCCACTTTGTTTTCCTGATTCACAGCCGTGCATGTACAATTGCTGCAGTTACATCTCAGTCAGCTGTGAATGACCTTTGGCGAGATGGTCTATTTTCCTGTTATGATTGCTTTTCCAAGATCATGTAAAGATTTACAGTCAGACGTGTAAATAAACCTGGTGTTGCTTGTTCGTTACTCGGTGAAGTCTGTGCAGTATTCAGTATTTTACAGGACCTTGTCCCTCAGTCAGTTTCTTGAATGTGAATTTAGAAGCCTAATTAGGTGGTCCTGGTCTGTTGCTTTTCACATTTTCCAAACCACTGGAGTATAAACAGAATTCAACAGGGTATGTGTCTGAGGCAAAGCTGTGGTTTCAGTCTACCAGTATTTCTTGAAGTCCAGTTATGAGTTTAATCCTAACTTGGACATTTAGCACGAGTAGAAGATGCATAGAAGGTGATATATTTTTAAACCTGACCATTCTCTGAGGGCTTCACCAGAAGCACTGTCTCGCACTACAGCATTTTACATTTTCTAGGTTTGATTTAGATTTCAGCATTTGGATTTCCTAAAGCCAAAGCTTAAAAAAAAATGCTTTTTTTCATAGGAAAGCTGTTTAAACGTGTCTGTATATACTTATTATTGCATTTGGAAGTTAAGATTATAGGGAAGTGACGAGAGAATGTGCTGGAATACATCCGTTGGTGGGTTTTTCCAGTTATTGAGGATCAGATGCAGAAGAACAAATTTTGGTGAGGATGTTCCTAACTCTGTTCTCAGCTGTCTAGTTTGACAGCTTAGTAGAAGTAGAGGAGGTTTCTTTGAAAAAGGAGTGCTCAGCCAAATACCCCAACCAATAGTCATCGCTCTTCGATACAAGGGTTACAACGCGGCAGCAGTGGTTTTAATTAACATGCCAGTAACAGTGTTTAATAAATACAGCAGCTGGAGAGGACTGAGGAATCTTGTAACAGAACTGTAGGAAAGAATTACATTAGCCTATAAATACCGCTCTGCAGCAGCTACATTCACCTGTCCTGAGGCTTGTGCAGTGGGCTTCGTCCTTGTGCTTCAGCGCGTCTCAGCTACGGTTGTGTGCCCGCAGGAGAGGCCAGTAGCCTTCTGTAACTTCACTGCGATGCTGAAAATACAGCCCTCCTCCCCAGATTAGAGGTGTAGTAATTGCTCTGTAAAATACATTTTTTTTTCCACTTTCTTGAGAGTCCCTCTGATGGTTCAACTGAACAGCTTTCTCTTTTTTTTTTTTATGTTTCTTCTGTGTTTTAATGCTTTGCAGTATACTACATGAATTTCTCAGTACCGTGACAAACCTCCCACTTTACAATTTCAGTCTTACAGTGACACAGATGAGTGCTTCCAAAGCTGACATACTGATTGCTCTTCAAATGTTGTGTGCAATTTTTCAATGATGTAAACCAGGTAAATAAGAAAAAAAAAAAAGAAAAAGAAAAAAAGGATTGTTTCTACAAATGTGTTAGTGTATGTCTAGGACTGTATCACTTCGATTCTGTTTCTAAAAGGTCTGTTATAAGCTCCCAGGACAAAAGATTACAAGTGAAATTCTAATGTTGGTAATACCTGTTTCTGGAAGACCAGACTGTCAGTGATATTACATTAGAAGCTTAGCAGGTGTCTATTTCTAGCCTTAATTTAGATGAAAATGTACAAGTGACAGAGAATCTGGACTTGCTTTTTCTCCTGTGGAATCAACAGGAGTTCAGCTCCAAAATTCTCTGGGATTGTAATCAGGCTTTATATAAGAGTATTTATAGAATGATGAGAAGTGTCAAAATATAACCTTAGAAAATAAATCCTGTATTTTCCTTTTCTGGGGAGAAAAGACGGTCATGTTTAAAAAATGTGTCGGACCTGTTTGTGATGGGAGGAGCTCTTGTTCTAGAATCGGCAGCTCTTTTGCACTGGCTAGAGAGAGAAGGCTATGGACCGCTAGGGATGACTGGAATATCCATGGGAGGACATGTAAGCTTTTATATTTCCTGTTCAGTAATTTTTGGTTTAACTTCACATTTAATCATTTAGCATATGGAAATAATTTGTTTTATAGTGTTGCTCTCAGGAGTACTTTAAATATTTAGAGTCATGAGAAACATATTGTTGGCAATTCTTATGTTTTGTGGTGCTGAATTAGTATAATATATAATAAGTACTGACAAGTCATAGAGCCCTTTGTTAGCCATCTCCTGATAGCCTTAATAAAAATATAAGTTTCTCACATAATTATGGGGTTTTTTTCCACAAGGAGGGAGGGGGAGAAATATTTTCTGAAAGTAGGTCTGTACTGATAGTTGCTAGTTCTCCCTCTTTTCCTCCATTCTTGCTTAAATTTTCGTGTTTGAATGCAGTGTGTGACATGCCTCCTCTTTGTAGGGATGCTGTAACCGAGGTGACTTTCAGTGTTGGTTCTGTTCACATCTTTTTTTCCTCAGTCATTGGTCTTGCTGAGGGGAGGTCTCTGTAAGATGCTTGAAAGACAAATACGCAGTTAAAATGTTACTGCTTGTGTCTCTACAGGTTATCATTGGTCTGTGAGACATAGGTACAAAGCTTATTAAAACAACACACCTCTGTTTTGCTGATCCTTGTTTGTTTGTTGTCCGAAGCTAAGTAAATAATGTTGGTAATGTCTACTGAAAGGAAAATGATTTTACCCCAAAGCACAGTTTTCTAACTCTAAATGTCGTAAATGTCCAAAGCACCTTTGATTTACATAAACGTCACCCTGCCGAAACAACGACTTTTGTGTTAAACATGTCTTGCTTGTCTTATTTGTAAGTTGGGGTGGAATTCTTAAACTGGTATATGCACCACTAACTGTGCAGGACATCTCAAATGCTCTGCAAATGCTATGGCAGTAGCTGAGTACTGTATCCTGTACAGCATGGGTATAGAAGGAGGCAACATCTGACAGAGAGTTTGGAAACTCCTTTGAAATTTCTTCCCTTAGTCAGGAAGATACATTTTTGGCTAGTCCTGACCTATTATAGGACTTCTGGTACAATTTAAAACCAGGGAAATAAATCATATTTGATGTTGATGATCCATAGAATGTGTTCTACAACAGAAGGTAGGTACCATTAATCCAGTTCTGCTGGTGGAGAGGGCTACCGCTAAGAGGATACAAGTAAGACTTTCGGAACATAGATACGTGGCGTTCATGTAACTTTTTATTAATAAAAAATATTTAGAATAGAATTATAGTGCAGTTGTATAAATCCATTTATTAGGATATCTGGTACAGACAAGGAGGTATTTTGTCTTAAGGGGTTTACGCTGTGGTTCAGTTTAGAGCAATAAAATAAAACTTGTCGAGAACGTACCATATAGAGAAGTTCTGTGCGTTGAGCTGCTTTGTTTTTTTCCTGGGATAAACAGAATATTCGCAAAAAGATGTTCCAGGAACTGGCTGAGAAGTAATAACTTACACTTCAAAGGGCAGAAAAAGAGCCCACTTAACATGCTGAATTACTTCTCCATATTTTGTTTCCAGTATACAAATTTTAAAAATACAGAATTCTAAATAGTCTTTCTCATAGACTGCCTTCGTTTTACCTTGAAGTAAACTTGCAAGAACTTGATGAAAAGGCTTTATAGGTGTTTTTCATAGTTTTAAACAATTAAAAGGTCAGAATAACTATTCCATTGGGAATTTTTATAACAAAATCCCATTCAGCCTTGAAATTAATCCTATCCAGAGCAATGTTTATTGTTAGGGAAATCACTGAAGAATAGGCTATGTCTTCTAAATAATAGGTGCAAATACGTCCAACTGCTGCAGTTCTTAATTGCTTTGGCACTGCATATTTGCTCAGTACCGTATAAACAAACTGAAGGTGGAAGTGTTCTTTTTACCATATTGTGAATTCAGTATTAAAACGTGTAATGAGTGCCTTTGATTCTAGATGGCTTCACTGGCAGTGACAAACTGGCCTAAACCATTGCCTTTGATTCCGTGCCTTTCCTGGTCAACAGCTTCTGCAGTCTTTACTACGGTAATTAACATGTATCTTTGTAAATATACCACAATGTCATCAGATATGCAAGTTAAAGTTTTGGGTGGCCACATTCAGCTTTTCAGTTAGGACGTTTTATCACCATTCGAACTCTTATTAGTGGCAAAACCCACCCCCTCCTACTCAGGATATACAACGCATGATAAGGAAGGTGGCTTTGAGCTACTTCAGTGGGTCATGTACCACATTAAGGGCTGCAGCTGGTTTGTGGGACCATGATTAGAGTCTTGGTCTGAATTTGGGAAATTCTTCTGCTCAAAGCCTGGATTAAATCATTGGGTAACAACGCTGCTACTGCCATGAGGGGTACCTGGCTTCACTACTGCTGGCTTTCACACCCATCAGCCCAGTCTAGATGTGTGTAAACCCTAAATTGGACTGCTTTCTGTTGTCTTTTTTTTTTTTAATTTTTTATTTTGTTTTGTTTGGTTTTGGAAGGGAGGTGATTTTCCATGGCCTGTGTTGTAATATGTGCATATGCTTTGATTACAGTAATTCTAAGGGTTATCTGGAAATTTGTGCAGAATTCCACTGGAAAAAATCAAGTGTCGGAGAGGAACAGATCCATTTTATCTATTTATCGTTATTTTAGAATGATCACTGGGTTTTGCTTGCATACTGGATGCTTGTGTTAATGATTTCAGGGTGTGTTGAGCAAGGCAGTGAACTGGAGAGAGCTGGAGAAACAGTATTTTACGCAAACTGTTTATGAAGAAGAAATCATTCAAATGCTTGAATACTGTGGTGTAAGTATAGTTTATTTTCCCTATTTGCTAATACTTACATGTGCAAATCTAACAAATAATGTAACGTCTTTTTACTTCCAGTAGAAGTAGCCAATTGTTAGCTAAAGCATGTTTGCCTGTTCTTTCCTTAAGCTTTTGATAAATTTCGTCTTTGAAGGAAAACCTTCTGAAAACCAGAAGCTTTTATTTTGGTATGTGTATAAGCTTATATTTTGGTTACGTAAGGTGGAGTTCTTCACAGAGAGGGTGGTGAGGCACTGGAACAGGTTGCCCAGAGAAGCTGTGGATGCCCCATCCCTGGAAGTGTTCAAGGCCAGGCTGGATGAGGCTTTGAGCAACCTGGTCTAGTGGAAGGTGTCCCTGCCCATGGCAGGGGGGTTGGAACTAGATGGTCTTTAAGGTCCCTTCCAACCCAAACCATTCTATGGTTCTGTGATTCTATCAGGTATAGCCCTTGCTACAAGTTTTTTTCCATAACCACACAGTGTAATCCACAGCATAATTGGGAAAACCAATTGCCTGGTGTGGAAATATAAAAGCATGATTCATTGCCCTTTCAAGCAATTGCTTCCAAATATTCAATGATATAGGATAATTTTAATCTGTGGCAGTATTATGTTTCTTTTCTGGTTTATTTAGAGTGCTAGGTCTCTATTACTGTTCCAGTATGTGATGCTAGCCCTCCCTCACCTTTAGACTTCTATTGCGCAGACAGTTGGGATAAACATGAGGTAGAGTATTTGTAATTAGCTTCTTGCTCCTTACAAAACATAATTTTTTGTCTATTTCTTTTTGCTTTCTTCTTGACTCTTTTTCACTAGGGTTGAAAGACATCTTTTTCTGCTTCACCTGTCTTTTAAATTGGAGTGATAACTTGGAGAATTGCTTATATGCTGCAACGCTGTCTTCTAGCCAGTTCTGATAAATAACTTTTTCCCTAAGATTCTTTGCTTTGTGACAGTCCTTTTTCAAATGTCTTATGGCAGGAGAAGAGGGGCTAGGGTGGAGATAAGTAATTAGGTTCTTGCCATTTTTAAGTAAAATACGCTGCAGGAAAACTGATGGCGCAGACAAAATGAAGAAACCTTTCAAGATGTTCAGCTTGTGTCTTCCTAGTATTTAGAGACAGTAGATTTTTCAGTCCTAAACTTAACATTGGACCTGGTCACATATGTTTATTGCCCAGAAATTTAAGCTTAAATGACTGCAATTATAAATTCAGGGTTTAATATAGAATTAAAAACAAATGTTGCTGTCATAAGCTACCACATATAAGTACTTCCTGCATTTTTTAAGCTGACAGAAACGTGGAATGAAATTATAAAGAGGTTATGATGATCAGGATTTAGTTGAGTGACATGCAGGCTGCAAATAACAAGTACTGTGAGAAGTGCTGTTTGTATCTTTTTTTTTTTAATATTGACTTTCTCTTAAAAATAAGATTAAGCAAGTGGTTTAAAGAAGAAACCCTCAGTAAATGACCTCTTGTCTGTGTTTAGACGGATTCTTTCAAGATGGGACAAGACTTTGTTAAAAATTTCCCTGAGAGCGTGGACAGTCTGGCGGATGTGGACATGACTTCCAGAATGTTCGGCCTTGATTCCTCAAGCAAGACTCTATCTAAAGAAGCTGTTCACAGCTTTACCACAAATAAAAGTACTCTAAGTGCCTCATCAGAAAGACTCTTAATACAAGACGCTCCTAAAATGCAGTGCATAAATCAAACATTTTCCACCAGCAGCAATATAAACTTAACCAGCCCACAAGGACACGGGATGAATAAAAGAAGAAAGTGTGATACTTTACAGAGAGAATCCTTAAGATTCATGAAAGGAGTGATGGATGAATGTACCCATGTAGCTAACTTCTCAGGTATGTATTTACTTGTTTTAATGTGTGGTTTTGAGAACTGAGTAAAATATGATGCAAAGCATTCTCCTTCGTGTAAACCTGCTGGCACCTTAGCTGAAATATGAAAATATCTTGAGTGTTATTCAGTAGCATCTGTTTACTCCATTTCCTAACTGGTTTTTTGTTTCTTCTTAATGACCAACTACTGATAAAGTGAATTAAAAATTTGCCTTCCAGTATCTTTGCTCATTTTTTCTCTGCTTTGCTGTGGCTATTTTCAGATATGACTTAGTGGAAATTTGTATTATTTAAAATAAAAAATACCTGTGTGATGTGAGTAATATCTAGATCTAAATAATCTGCTAATAAGGTTTTTCAAGCAGGTTGAAGTAAATCTCACAAATCAGAAATCTGATAGTGACTTCAGATAGAAGTTAGCTTACATAGCTGAGTACCAAGCTTGAGCGATACTTTCAGACAAGTGTGACCACTAATTTTTTACTGGGACAGTGCAGTCTGGTGAATGTAGTGTTTCCCAAGGCAGGCAGGGCGTACAGAGGGAGCTGTAGCCCAACAAGCCTCAAGTCTGTTGAACCCAGCTTTCTTGATATCTAGGGCAAATGCCTTTCAGCAGCCCATTTGCAGGCAATGCAAACAAGCAGTTTCTTCCTAGAGCTGATTGAAAGGGTTTTGCTGGAGGGGCTCGGAATTGCTTTTGTGGCAGTCCATTTGGACAAAATGGTTCAACTGTGTGTGTACCCACTGAGGACTCTCAACATGTCCTAGAATGTGCTTTGACTTCAGACAGGTTTTTGACAGAGGTGTCTTTGAATGCCGAAACATTCTTGATAGTTGAGACCCTGCGCCACCGCGTTTTTTTCATTCTGGCATTCTGACCTGGGATGTTTTGTGACAAATGGCAGTGAGCTGCTTTCCTTAAAGCTTTATAAGTTACTTCAGTAGACAGAAAAAACCCTTGTAAACTAAAGTACAGGCATTGTTGTTTATTTAGACACTTAGCCAGGTATGGCTTACCTAAAGCATTGACCTTTCTTGAAACTTAGGAGGATCTGTGATCCTAATGTCCTCATCAAAGTGATGTAGTTCTTTGTGTCAGGTGTCTCCCAGGTCTCTGTGTGCTCCGGGAGACGTTTCGTTCACTGCCAGGGTATCCTTGGCGTGTGCCTAGGGAGCAGGTTCAGAAAACCTGCCCAACATTCAGATTTCATGGAAAACTGAGTGGAAGACTAGAATCTAGCTTAGCATTACATATCTTCTGTAAATAATCTAGCATATGAAAGGAGGGGGTCTGATTTATTTCTGACAACCCGTTGTCAGACGTACAGATTGGTCACTCTTTACCGTACCACATACAGTCTTTGCAAAGAGAGACCTGTTCTCTGCTCATCACCATTTTGGTGTTATTTTTCTCTACACCATTTTGGTGTTATTCCTGTTAGCTGGTAATCTGATTGGTGCCATTCTAGTTATCAGCAATAAATGCATATAACAGTATGTCAGGATTTTTATGTTGTAACTGAAACACGTAGAAAGCAGAAAAGAAAATGAACGTATACTGCACTTTATCTGATCTCTCATAAGAAAAGTTGTCTTTTTTCCTCTCCTTGAGGGGAAAAAATGTGCAAAGCTTCTACTCTATTGAATATCAGATGCCTCCTTGTTCTTTTTGCTGAAAAAAAGAGATCTGACCTGAATGCTGTAGTGTTTTGTTGATAGGAGTATAGACAATTGTCCTATCATTCTTCAAAGAAACAGAGAGCATATTTTCAACAGAAAACTCAGGTGACGTGTTTCTATTTCTTACCTTAGCTGAATTCAATTCTGGTTTGTTTTGCTTTAGTTCCGGTTGACCCAAGTTTAATCATAGTTGTACAGGCTAAGGAGGATGCATATATTCCTCGCACTGGGGTGCGCAGTCTTCAAGAAATCTGGCCCGGATGTGAAATTAGGTATCTGGATGGAGGTCATGTCAGTGCCTACCTCTTCAAACAAGGACTCTTTAGGTAAGGTAAACAGGAAAGTTTTAAAAGGTTGAGAGCTTAAAACCATAGTTTTGAGACACATAATTTTTCTTCTAAAAGCAAGTCTATAATTACTCTTAAGCAGCAAATACCAAATTCTGCTTTGACAAACAAGCTGTCATATCTGAAATAATTTAAAAGGGAATGTCAGCATTTCCACTTGGTGAGCGAAAGTGAGGTGCAAGATAGCTCAGATGGTTCAGTAAGCCAGTGGCAAGAGAATGATCCCTCTCACTCTTGCTTTTCTGTAAAAGCTTTTGGTTTGTTCGTTCACTGGACACTAGAAGATACGTTTTAAGCAGTGACCCCAGCTGTTGTCTTTGCAAACCTCTTCTGAGAATTAAAAAAACACACACAATTGAAGACATGAACTAAAATACAAACTTGACTGAAAATATGTAGTACTTGTGTGAATTCTTGCCTTAGTAATACTGGGCATTGACTTTCTGAAGACAGTTTTATAAATGCAGTTCCTTTGTTTTAAAAAGTTGAATACTTGTGCTGTTAATTTGAAAATACAAGGAATTAGTAAAACTGTACATCCCATTTAGGAAGTCTAAGCAACAACAAATAGGAATAACAATATACTGGGTCAAGCTATGCTAACCACTAGCTTATTGCTATTTAAAAGTTCAGCCTTATCTTGTAACAGTTGCTCAAAAATTATAAATTATGCATATGTCTGACCTATTTCCTGATGTGTTAGGGTAGAAAACTCTTAATCCATTAACATTTGCACTCGTATTAAGAGTCGGTAAACAGTCCCAATCATTACTGAAACATAAATATATTACTGGATTGATGTGAGAGATCCCAGAAATAAATGAAGCAGAAAAGACTACCTAATACCACATTTATACTGAATGCTGTTTTGAAATTGTGGTGATAGCTTTGTAAATGTATTTGTAAATATATAGAAACATGGCACTTAATATCTGCTCTTTTTGAAATTATACAATTGATCTTCTTTTTCCTTTGTTTTAGACAAGCGATTTATGATGCATTTGACCGCTTTCTTCAGAAATACACAGTTTAAAAATCTACAGAACGTGTTCAAACTGATGTCATTTGTACTTCCGCTTACTGGAACTCGTATTTGGAAAGCAAACCTCTTGCAGTGTTGAGTACATGGTCACTGACTTTGAGTATTGTAGGTAACAGTTATCAAAAATGGTAAAGTACCAGCATTACTTTCATTTCAACCAAATGCCATTCTGACACACTTGCTTCAGCTTTAGCTGTGAAAAAACAATCCAGCATGTGTTAGTGCATGAATGGTTCACATACTTCATGTTTAATCACATTGTGTGTTCCTTTAATTCTGAATAAATTCTGATTGTGTACCAGTTGAAAACAGACCACCTTGAAGTATCGAAAGAACGTAAGATTTCCTGTCTGCAGGGCTAAGATGCTCTCTTGAATTTAGTGTATTTCTAGTTTGTTCCAGGTACCTTGGTTTCCTCTTGCTTCCTCGGCCCCTTGCTATTCCTGTTGTGTTGTACTACAGCTTTGCTAGCACCAGCCTCTGGCCTGTTGCTGATCTTCTCTATTATGAATTGAAAATGAGCTGTGAGACAAGGGGCAGCATCAAATCTGGCAAGAAGAGACTTTCAGAATTCAGTGAAGAGAGAGACACATTTTCATTCATTGCATCTGTGAGATTTTTCTGCCACGGAATCAAACTGTGCCATTCCAGAAGAATCATGTAGCAATTCATTGATCAGTTTCACAGAACTGAAAATGGAGCATCTAGTAACTAATTGTTTACGCGTATTCTGTTGAGTAACATAAGCTTTTTCTTCTAGGTGGGGTTTTGGGCTTTTTTTAGAATGCTAGAGAAAATAAAAATGTAATCACTTTTCTTTAGAAGCAGTGGCACAAAGAGTCTGATTCTGAGCAGTTCATTCAACATCTGATTTTATGGTGCTATAAAGACCTGCTGGAAATATTGCAGGTTGTTTTTAAAATACACTTAGTGCTGATATGCAAGGTCCAGTTTCACTGTATAATATTGAAAATGTATGTGAGACTAAGCTTATCAGAACGGTTAGTTCAGGTCCTTATTTTTCAACACTGTTTTTTTTAATTGGAAAAAATAAAAGTATTAGAAATGCATTTAAGAAAACCCAAAGTCTGTTGTTTCCTCTTTTGGGTTCAAAAATGCCAATGAATTACAGTAGGATAAAAAAGGCTGTCGTGCATCAGCTATGTACGGTACCTGTCCACGTCTTACTTTGTGGTCGTCTCCTGTAGCATTCTTTTAAAGCTGGTTTGCAGAGAAGTTGAAAACTGAAACACTTCAATATTAATTTTAGTGCAGTAATGACCAAAGTTACGCAGAAACAAACAGAAAAACCCAGCTATTTCTAGGGATATGAGACTTCTCCTTTCAAATCAAGCACTTCACTGATCTCTGTGGTTAGCGTAATAGTTTTTAATAGGTAGAGTATGAAGCCACCAAAGCTGGGTTTATAGAAATGTATTCTCTTGAATTTTAGTCTGGCAGACAGGACTTGTAACTGGGAAGAAAGCATGGTTGACTAGAACATCAGATAAGTTCAGGTAAAACTGGTGCGTAATAACCCAAATTATTTAACACAGAGATTTACTGAAAATGCAAAGGAAGTTGTATTCTGTTGGAAGTCAAATTGCCTTTTTCAAGTGTTTTTTCATAATTTCTTTAGACAGTGTTGGGTTTATATATATTGGGAGCAAGTGTGAAGTGACTAGCGTGTTTAAATACAGTAAACCACTGAATTTTGGAAGGTTTGTAATGCAGTCTGAGTAAGCTTACAAATTTAAATTTGAAGGCTTGACTACTGTACTAAAATATTTATGGGTTTTATATTTTACAAGCTCATTCATCAACCAAGAGTGTTTTACAAGACCATTCTCTGCTGTTCACCAACTTCTTTAGATCTCACATTTTAAATGTATTTGAGTGCTTTACATCCTGTTTCTGTTGCAGCCGTGAGAAAGGGAGATAGCTGGTGGCAAGGGAGAGGGCTTGAATAAATGGAAGAGAAGAAAGACAGATTTTGTAAGGCGAGGAGTAAGCACAAAAAAAATCAACTTCCCTACGCTACAAAGTGTAACATGCCAAAGCAAATATTTTCAAAGCGCACAATACTAGGAATTACACAACTGATGGGAACTTGACATCCTGAGGTTAGTATTCTGATGATATTATTAACAAGGTTTAACTTGCCAAAAGGGCATACTATTCACAGAAGCAGGTTTATGCCAATGTAACTCCTGTTTGTGAGAGTTCTTGGGGTAAGTAGTAGAAAACTGGTCTCTGACAAGAATGAGAAATCCTACTTTGCTGTATAACTAAAGTGATGTTGCCAAATGTGAAAGCCTGGTAAGAAGCGTTTAAGAAATTTCTCAGGTTAGAATAACAAAAAGGAAAAACGAGCTCTGTGTTCTATTTCTGCCAGTTATCAGAGAGAGAAGGCTATTAGCTGGTCTGTGAAGGGGGGAATCTTGCTGTGTAAATGTTTTTAACCTTTGGAAAAGTGACTTTTTAAACCAGATTTTAAGGTTAAATCTAAGAAAGTGTTATTAAGAATCCATTTTGATGTTAAATGAGAATGTGATTTTAATCCAGCAATTGTATGAGAAAAATAGTGGAGTAAGGTTCCTGCACTAAATCCAAAGAGCAGGTAAGCACTCTGTATGTCTTAACTTTATTGTAAAACTGGCCTTGATTGTTTTGGGGTTTTAATGTTTTTCAATAAAAATCCTAAAAAAAACCCTGTTAGATGTGAGGTTTTTTTCTTTCTTGTTAACAGGAATTCAAAATGCATCTCTCTCATCCTGTACTCCTTTTTATTACTCCTAGTATTGTAGCACAAGAAGAGTAGTTAATCCACAGTACAAGGTAAAAGCTTCACATAACAAACAGTGACAACTGCTTTCATGGTTTTCTACATGCAGGACCTAGTAAAATAAGTTTGGATCATCTAATTAAGATACCGTTGTGATTCCAATTTTATACTTCTCAGTGGCTTCATTGTGTTAGAGTTTCTTGGACTTATTTAAAATCCCTTCTATTTTTAAAAGGGTCCAAAATCTGTACCACCTCTTCCTGCTTGCTGTTGTGTTCCAGGCAAGGGTGCGTTGTACCCTAATACAATGTAAAGCCTATGGTAGGACTGTCCAGCAATAATTGAAACAATCCCCCCTGCTGTTGATGGTTGCTCTTGCCCGGTGGAGAGGTGGCGGTTAGGGGTTTTGGAGCGCTGCTGCTGGGAGAAGAGGTTATTTCATTGGCTGCAGCAGCCTGCCATAGGAATGGGAGTATCGTGCGCTAGCTAAAAGGCTGCTTTGGGCAGCCAGTCATAAATCTTACTGGCAGCTGCATCTTTCAGCCTTGATGATGGCAATATGCAAAAAAAAAAGTGTTGGAAAACTGTGGCTTTCTCTCTGGAACTGGAGCAGTCATTCTGGCTGAAGCCTGCCAGCTGTACCCAGCAACTGAGATGCAAACAATTGTATTTTGGTGCTCAGTTGTGCTTTATGAAAAGTGAAGGCCCTGGTAACACTTCTGCATACAGAGACGGACGAAGCACCAGGAGGACAAACGGAGCCAGTAGTGCCTTTTGTCTACATGGGAAAGGAAAGGTTAGGTCTGGTGTGTTACCTCTCCATAACCCAGGTGATTGTTTTTAGTGCTTTGTTTATGTGTTTCCCTCCTGGCAGCTTTTTAGTGTGTTGTTTACGTGTTTCCCTCCTGGCAGCTAAGTGCTGGTCACCCTTCAGAACAGAAACCATCCAAACGTTGTCGATTGGAGTGTCACGTCATTTTTTTTTTTCCCCAAGTCTGAAAAACACCCCCTCAAATGTGACCGCTCAATTTTTTTAGCAAGGATAGATCCCTTGTGTTGTATTAGTCTAGAAAGTCTGCACAAAGGCAGCATTATATGAAGGAATGGAGACTTGTTGCTTTTTCTTGCTGGAATGCCGTATGCACGGATCCTCTTCAAACAGGAGATTAGAAAGTGAAGATCCTTGGATCCTCCAAATGCTTTTTTTTGTGTGGTAGCTGCTAACATTTTGAGGTAGTCAATTTTTAATTTTTTAAGTTTATCTTAATTGTTTCTGTCTTCTGTTGCCTTTTTTTTTTTTTTTAATGTTGATCTTAATTACGGTTGGTTGGGCAGGGAAGTTTCTTTATCTCAAGCAGGCAGGTTCTCTGTCAGCTCGGCTGCAATGATAAGTTGGTTGTACAGTATTGAAAGGAGGTTTGTGTCGCCTGTAGGCATGTAATTCCTTGTGAAAAACTAGCACGCGGGTAAAATGCTGCCGTAGTGTGCGATCCTGTAATGTGCAGTGCTTCCTGGTACACTTGGATGCTTCCACACAAGATAAAGCATAAGCTTTAAAATGGAGAGTAGCTCGTAATGACTGTTATTCTCTTGGTTTCGTGTATGGATCAGCCTCTTCTTCAAATACGAGTGCAAATACTGTGCTCTGCAAGGAAAAAGTACAGGGAGTTTTGCCAAGGAGCTCTGACTTACTAGAACATGACAAGGGGGAGGACGCACAAAGTGGACAGAGTTAAGGATGAGCCCTGCGCAACTGTAAAAGCTGTTTATACACCCTTCAGGCCCCGGCCATCCCATGAAGTGTACAGTAAGCCTTCTGCTTCCACACGCTTAGCAAAAACAGTGTGTATGAAAACTTGTCAAGCTGCCACATTACTGGTCACCTTTACTGTTTTTTTGCTGCACCTCTCTCCAGGGTAACTCTTAATCAGTTTCCTGATTTTTCCCTGGTCTGCTCAGGTCCCTGCACTGCAGTGCTCCTGAAGTCCCGGCTGGCTGGCACATCTGCTTCCTCACCTTCTAACACTTGCATGAGAAAAAGAGGAAACGGGAGGTTCATCCCCTTCTTACCAGTGGCTTAGGTAGGGCCCCTGTACTTCCGTATCACTCTACTCTCTGCTTAACTTCAGAGTGTGGGAAACCGTTGTGTTCTGAATGGGTCACGTGGCCCATACTCCTGTTTTCAGGAACGTCAATGTAAGTGTATACAGATGTTGCCCCTTTTCCTTATCAAAACTATTCACTGAGAATGCTGTCCTCCATACCTTTGTCACTGTAATACGCAATCAGCATGTCCTTGATTAGTAAATTTACTGCATAATTGAGTTCCTAGTTGGAAAGAAAAACA